CATGCCAGCCTCAAGAAAATGCTCTGGGACCGGCAAAAAGCACTCTTTGCCTGAAGCACCTCCAGTGCCGTCAGACGTCGCCGCCCCCTTTCTTGGGGGTCGGCGGCACGGCGTCAGCCCTTAAATAACCCCATACAATCTCTATACAGAAGGGCATCATGCATCTAAGCACTATAGATAGATATGGGATTGTGGAAAATTTGCAATGGGATTTTATGGGGATTATACGATGATTAGATAGACATTACATGGGCATTAGGGGGGATATGGGTTATATTAGACGCCACAGACTAAGCCTAGAGATGCAAAGCAGCAATCAACGTCAGTCGTGGCTGTGTCGGGTACTGCCCCCACTGATCAATAGTTTGATAGTAAATATTTCATGTATAGATATATATATATATGGTAACATATATATATATACACATATAAATGTAGCCCAAAATATGATCTCGATTGTAGAATAGGACTGGGTGGGGCCCGTACCCAGCATATGTGCAAACTTGCTGTCCAAAAAGCTTCTACTTGCCGCCTTACACCAACACCTCTCAGCAAGAGCACTGACCACATCAACCAAGGCTTATGATCGCTGCAACGATCAGGCAACGCTACCGAGTATACCTAGTTCCTACACTTTTAACCCTGACAATATGCACACAAAAACGTGTAGAACCCCGCCAACGATTTCAAACAAATATTCGCAGCAGCCTGCCTGGGCCTGGGAAACTCCATTTGCCAACCTCAAATAGAGGGCTCTGGCTAAGAGGCGACTTGAAAACCAGCGCTACATTCTGGTTGATGACGGGTCACCGTGACAAGAATTAGTTCAATGATTCTTTTCATTTTCTGATTCTTGTTCGTGATACAACTTAAGAAGCACATCTGCATTCTGGCCTAGGTCAAGGAGCAAGCTCAAGGACCCTTTGACGTTCAAGGCGTGTTCTTATATGAACCAATCGTAAACCGAACCCAATTCCGGATGAGCCTAAAAATGCACAGAGCCTTGCAAAAACAGACCCTGATGGGAAGCAGCCGGCAGCAATTAGTCCGACCTGAAGCATTTCGAGAAAGAAAGCAATGTGGGGGCCTCAGCATGATTTAAGGTTTTGAGGGTTGGGGCCGGATGGGCGTCACAAAGCTTGCAGCCCGAGTGGCGCAGAAGAGTTTGCATTCCAGGCCTGCAGAAAAGGTTTACAAGAAAACGCTTCTTATAAACATCCTGCATAATCTAGCTGTGCGACACCACCACAATGTCCGGAATATCAGCTTCTTGAATATGTCTGGTCACGCAGTGTTTTCTCTCCATCAACAACCCAGCTGGGATGGACCCACATGTTCATCATGCAAACCTTTCAGACCCTCGTCTAGGTATTTCTGCGAACAAAAGCCCACTATTTTGGGAAAACTCGTACAATCTCGGAACATCGCAAAAGTCAAACCAGCCTCCAATTGGCCCGACCTCAGACATGGCACATGGAAGTTTTTGCAATCAACTTCCAGTCATGGAATTCTAAAATGTGGAGACTGGTAAAAGAAAGCCCTCCCCACACAGGGTTCGTCATGTGTAGCTGTAGCTGTAGGCAATGCTGGGGCTTTTTGGTTGGTTTGCGGGGCATCAATCGAATTCTGAAAGCAGCTTCCTGTCTCTTTTCAAACCGCAGCAAAGGGCGAGGAGGCATCCAAGGCTTGAAAGGGATCATCCGAGCCTTTGTCTCCAGGAGCTGTGAGCTCGCGTACCCAATTCGCTAGGGGGATGTATCCTCCCCCAACTCGCACTGCGACACCGGCACCCTCCGAAAGCTGCATAAAGACCTTCTGATCTCCTAGCTTGTACTTCTTCGGGCCTGTCCTTGTCAGCACGTTGCCCTTCAGGCAGCCAACACCCAGGGACCGAATTTCCGCCTCAAGCGACCGGTCCAGTTCGTCCGAAGGAGCCGAAGCCACATAGTCTGAGGCATCCACTGCAGGCTGTGGAGGCGGCGTGGGCTCAGGGGGCGGACGTGCCTTCAAGGCCTCCAGTGCTTCGACCTGCGCCTGCAGTTGCTCCAGGCGCTGCTCCAGTGACAGCTCACGTGCGCGGCTGGTGCTCGCCTCCTGCAACGCCTGCCGCGCGCGCTCCTCGGCGTTGCGGAGAACCTCGACAGATGCCTCAAGGCTCTCGCACTCGGTACGGTAGCTAGCTTGCTCAGTGTAGAGCTGCTGTCGCAAGTGCAGCTCCTGCTGTATGCAAACCTCCCAGGGTTGGACAAAATAGACCAAACAAAGTAAAAAAATCTGGAGATACCAATTGGATCAAAAACTAGTTGGATCCTGGCCTCGGCTCGCGAAGCAGCGTCTGCCTCTTGCAGCTGCTCCTCGTGACACCGCCTCTGCCACTGCTCCGCCTCTGCCTTTAGAGCTGCCTGCTGCGCCTCAGCCTCGCGGAGAGCCTCCAAAGCTGCCGCTCTGGATTTCGCGTCCGAGTCCCGCTGTGTCGCAGCACTCTCCAGGGCAAGGATCTCAAGCTCATGGCCTGCAAGGCGGGCGTTCAGATCCTTCACCTGCCGCAGCTTCGAAGAGTGGGAGCTCTGCGTCTTCTCGCACTGTGCTCGTAGCTCTGTGGAGAGGAAGCGCTCCGTCTCCACCGAGGCTGCCAAGTCCTGCATTTCCAACTCCTGCGCTCGATCAGCCTGCTTTCGCTGCGTGGTATGGAGGAGCGCTTCCATCTGCTGCCAAGCCTCCTGCTCTGCCAAAGAGTTTGCCTCGTACTTCAGTTCCAGGACCTCGGCCTGGTGACGCAACTCTGCAGCATGCCTTTGCTGCTGCAGCTTCTGCCATTCCTGGGCGTGTTGCAAATCCTTTTTCTGCAGCGCCATTTCCACCTCCAGCTCCTTGCATCGGTTTTGTCTTCGTTGAAGCTCTTCTTGCTCCTGAGCCATAACCTCCTGTGCCAGTAGAGTTCTTTGAGTCTGCGACATGAGCTCCTCGTCTTTACCACGCTCCTGCTTGATTAGGGCCTGCAGCTCCAGTAGCTCCTGGTCAAGGGCCCGCGAAGCTGACGAGGCTTGCAAAGATTGCGGATGCTGTGGGCACCAGAAGGCCCCAAGGCCTTGGCACATGTCCGCAGGTATGACCTGCGCTGCCTGTACGGGCAAAGTCACAGGCTCTCCAACTGCCAGAACAGGCGCAGGTGCGGCAGGTGGCGTCCAGTGAGAGTGGGGAGCATCGTGCCCTCCACGACTTAAGGACCTGGGTCTTTTCTGACAACAATGCTTTAATGGAACCTCACATGGACCCTGTCCAGCTCCCATAGCGCTGATGCATAAACACAATCAGCATGGTTGATGTTATCAAGTCTTCAACGTATCACATGCTTTTACTAATTAATCATTTACCAATGCACACCAAAAATGTCGAGGAAAAGGGGGACATGGCCAAGGACCTGAAGATCCACCCTAAAGCGGGCATGCTTACATCAAGACATTATGATTATTCTGCATTGAAGACACTGCCAAATTGACATCTTGGTTTGGGGCAAGACAAAATGCAAACAAAACTGCAAACAATGCCCCACCTCTCAAAACAGGCGTCTCTGCTCTAGCCCGAATATCTTGTCATCCTGATTTTTCTAGAAGCGCGATGAAGGGTTCATCATTTTGAGGAACCGCCAGGGCACCTCCTGATGTCCTCCAGTCCTTGCAGAAGGTCGTCCCCGAATTGCAGCGGTGGGGCAGAAGGCTCCAGTCTTTCCACACAGTCTCCGCTGCGAGGCCCATCCGAGGTCCTCTTTGGTGCTTGCAAAACTTTGGATTGAGCGGTGTAAGTTGCTAGGATGCTTGAGGTTTTAGGATGGGGTTTGCCGCTGCAATGCAAGGTGATGAAGGCATAGGACCTATAAAGTAATACTTCAGTTTTAATCTTCAACACATCTCACATCTCACAAAAGGTGTTGCTTTGGGATTTCTTGTGAGGATCTGACTCCTACCAATCTCAAACCCCAGCAAACCTCAAACCCGAAGTCAAGGCAGAACCTCAAACTACAAACCCCAAATCATTTGCATGCAGATGTTAGGGACCCTGCGCAAGGACACCCCAACCCCCCCTCCCGAGCTCTCCAGCAAAAATCTGAATACGGAAGCTCTGCACTCCAGAACCTAAGTGCTGAAGCCACAACCTCCAATGGATATTCTGAAATACCCAATAAAACCCCTATATAACCCTATATACTATAGTAGCTTCCATTTTATTTTCCATTATCCCTATATAACCCCAACGTACCTTCCATTTTATTTTCCATTATCCCTATATACCCCAATATACTATATAGTAGCTTCCATTTCATTTTCCATTATCCCAATATAACCCCTATATTATATTCTGGGTCCTTGCCAGAGCAGCCTGAATAGACCTCACAAGCAGCACCTCCTCGGCCTTCGGAGTGCCATTGGGGTTTCAGGGAAGGGCTTGGGGCTTTAGGGTTTTTTAGGATTTAGGAGCTTAGAGACTTCGGATGTAAAGATTCGGGGCGCAGAATGTAGACTTGAAGGTTCATAGCACAGGACTGTGCCATCAAAGGTCCTGCACCGTTAGCGCTCTGGCGACCTTATTGATAAAAAAGACTATGGGTAGCACTTCTCCAATAAGCCCCCTCACATGTCTACTTACACTACTAATCAGAATCCGATGATCTCCAGGCTTCCATGGCGCCCAACTGAGTGCCATGCAATTGGTACTCCCAGATTTGCTATGAGTAGACCAACAATAGTAATAAGAGATGGCGGGAAAGAGGAAACTACAGGTACACTCTCGCGTGGATTATGAGCCCAGAATCACCGTGACAACCACCCCAGGTATGCAGTCGCTCTTCTTCGCAAAGGCAACTCATTATCCCTATACCTTACACACAACGGGAACCCTTCAAACCCACAAAAAATGAATCCTCCCAGCGCTGAAATCCCTACCACCAACCTCTGACTCTCGTGGTCGTTTAGGAAATACCTGCATCAATATGAATCTTTTCTGTTGAAACATACAACTAAAAAAACAATGCACTACAAGTTTGCCTAATAGAACCTTTGGGGCAGCATGGAAAAAACTCCGAGGACGTGACGAACTCTCTTCTTAACTAGTGGTTGCCACACACTCCCAACACACGCAACAATCCTTGTTGTGGTAACCCCAACACAGATAGTCTTGAGCCAATGCCTTTTGCTCCAACAATGTCTGAAAATCCCCATATGAAATAACTGATTGTAGGTCCCAAGGAAAAGGTCCCTACCTCCTGCATGGGTCCGTAAAGCCTCGAAAGCCAACGATGAACGCTACGGTCAAAACCATAGGACCCCAGTCTTGGCATGCCAGGGTCCCCATATATCCATTATATTAGAGGTTACATAGGGATAATGGAAACGGCTATAATGGGGTTATATAGGGATGATGGAAAAGAAAATGGAAACTACTATAATGGGGTTATGTAGGGTTTAAGGTTTACAGTAATTATATGCCCGACATGTTCCTTTCACTAAAGACCCCGTAAATGGACCCATGCTTCCAACCGTACATAGATCTACATGCCAGTCCTGCAGTCTCCGCAGGGAAGCTTCGTCCAAGGAGGCAGCACGCAAGTCATCCTCACAGGTAAGCGTTTTTTTAGGACTCAGGCTCTTAGACTTAGGAATGTTGCAAGCAGTTGCGTGTTTCTGCTTGAGGTTTAGGCGTTCGGGGTTTAGGGCCTCAAGCTCTGGGGGGGACTAAGACCTAGGGCATGAAGATTGAGGGGTTTTTAGGCCTTGGGTTTACCGGGTTTTTGCATTACTGGCGCCGGTTTGAGGAGATGTGGCCTGGGATTTTGGGGCTGGCCTTAGGGTCTAGAATTTGGGGTTGGAAGGCTCAAGGTCCTCATTGCTCATAAAGGATCCGAGGGCTCATTCTTCAAGAAAAAGTAAGATAGCAGATTTCGGTACTTTTTGGCCGATCTGCTTTTGTGTCGCCCATAGGAGGAAGAGAGGCAATACGGTTGTATTGAAATGCATTTGAGATCAACTATGTCATAGCTTTAACCCATGAACGTCTTTGCCAGGTGGACTTCTACAGCAAACGAATTCCTGTCGGTTTTGTATCGCAAGGTTTAGAGCTTGGAGCATAACTCATTTTCTAAGCTTGGGGCTAGGACCTCTTGTCAATACTGTTATTGCTAGAATTACTATTGTTCAAACGATTATCATGAAGAATCCGGGGATTGGATTTTGTGTAGGCTAGGGTGTGCGCGGTGAGACTGCAAGCAGAGCAGTGTGGGCGCTTGCAGCTTCTGCAAGAGCGCGATGACTAGAATCATTCTTATTACTATTATTACTACTATTTCTAGCATTACTTGAATTTGTACTGTTGCTACTGTTCTTACTGTTATTATTCACTGCTACTACTATTATTATTGTGCATCAGGATATTGAGACGAAAACCACCACTCTATGAGGCCCCGGGCATGCTTTACCTGCAGCTACCTTGCGGCATGCCAGGCTTTAGGTTTTAGGTTTTAGGGTTTTGGGATACACTACTTACTGGGGGTGAGTGAAACAGAAGGGAATATACTATATAGGGATTATATGAGCCTCCTTGTATCCCCCTTAAGAACCCCTACAATACTACCCTATATAATCCCCTTTATAACCCCCTTAAAGGAGATTAGACAATAGCTCATCAAGGGATTGTACGGGGAGTATATTCCCTTATTCCCTACTAAGAGCAGAAGGACTAAGAGCTGGAAGTGATTAATTTCAAGGTCCTACCTTGCCAGTAGATGATAACACGGCTCAAATTCTGTGAGCTGAGCTGCCTAGATCACAAAACGACCCTGTCCTGAAGTCAGCTTGGGGTTCAACCCAGAGTCCTGCTTCAAAAGAAAAATTCTACCGACTCCCCAAACATACGCCATCCTCTGCAACGCACCCTTGGATTTCTAAAAACCCCATCTAGGCCAAGCGGCAACTATCTCAGCAAATTCCCTGCAAGACCCTGTTCCTCGTGTTCCGTCAATCACACAAAAGACTCGCGGGGCCTGGCTGCTTGCAAGATCTTGCTCGCGGTCCGTGAGCTGCTCAAGCTGATGCCGGATGCGCGCCATGCCGCATAGGAGGTGATTTCCGAAGATGAGGCTAAGGGCTTTGGCTGCTGGGTGGAGTGTTTTTGCCGTAAACCCCAGGGATTGGGGTTGTCTGCGTGGGAGTGGCGCATTTTGGACACTCCCTTTGGGGGCCGGACTCAGGAGGTTCCAGCTGGAGGTGTTAAACTTGACTTGGGCCAGAATGGTAGCTAGCGCGCTGAAAACGTGCAGTTTAGAATGACTTGGCCAAATGGCTGCAAGCAGACGATTCAAGGCGATAGGAAAAAAAAACACAAACTTGTTGTCCTCCAGAGAATGTATGACCAGTGTCCCTAAACCCTACACCCTGAACCCTAAACCCTAAACCATCAGTGTTGGGGTCCAAAACTTGAAGGGGCTTCAAGATGAGCAGGTTGAGGGAGCTATGGGCTAGGCACTTCTGAAAATGTCATGGACCTTCCAGACAGCTTCAGGACAATCTACCTGTGTTTGATGGTTTCCCAAAATTCGGGGTACCCTTTTGGGGGGTCCCCATCATAAGGAGTATAGTACTTTGGGGGTCTATATTGGGGTCCCCTTATTTAGGGAAACTACCGTTTTGCCGACTCCCAGAAAAGCTCGAGTCGAGTCCCCAGGCGTTGACTGGCCTGGGGTTTGGCATTCAAATCGAGGCTTGGGATTTGATGCTGATATGTAGGGCTGCTGGAGCAAGAAAGAGTCTGAGAGATCTTTGGCAAAAAAAACAAAGTCAAAAGAGGAGCGAAGATCAGATTACATGAGGATCTGAAAGGTCCCCTGAAGATCCACAAGAAATCTGTATGTTCATCAGCTGGAATTGAGCATAGCGGAAACAAGGCTGAATGAAGAAATGCAAAACAGATTCGCTGAATTCCAGACGGGTACTTCTTAAAACCACTGTCCTCCACTTTACCCTAAAGCATCCGGCACTCAGATGAACAGGGGAACCATGATTTGCAAAAGAACCCTGAAGCCCGGAACGCCGAGTACTAATCCTGAAGCCCTGACCTGAAACCTTCGCCTGCACTCCCAAGCAAAAAACCCTGAAACCCTGAAGTCTAAAGTCTGAAGCTCCCGGAAACCGCAAAACTTCTCCCGAAAGCTCTAAGGCCCTACAACCCATACCAGCCGG